ATTTTAATAATTTTTTATTTCTACTATTTATTAATTTTTTTCTTTTTTTAATATTTTATAATATTATTAAAATCTTATAATTTTAATTTTTATAATTTTATCTTACTTTTTATTTTATAAGTATAATTTGGATTATTCATTTTATAATTAAATTAATTTTTTTTTAATTTTTTATAAGTATACATAAAAAAATGTATTGAAATCTTTTGATCTTCGAGGGTATCGTAGCAACTTCCGTATAATAATATTGTTATTATTTTAGATCCAAGATACAAGTTGAAGTTATTGATAAATACATTGCCCAAGACAAACCATGTTTTGAAGATATTGATACATAGCATCAAGGAAAGAACAGAATCCATCCTGAACTAACTCAAGAATTCTCAAACTCTAACACACCAAGGTGTTCTTCCTGTTTTCCATTTGCAAAAGACTTCACAATAGTCTCCATTATACAGCGAACAACTGATTCACCAAGTCATAAGAGCAAAGAAAATTATATTCCACAAAGAAGCCTCAGATTTATATATGCGAGTTGCCGTTGCAACATCTCCAACTATTTATAATAATAAAAGGAAACAATAACCTACCCAAAAAAAAAAACAAGAAAACGCTAAATCAAATCCAAAAGAGTGTTACATTTGAAATATCTTTGCACCTAGGTCATTTGATAACAAGATTAAACCTAACAACCGGCATCGCCGAAGCCTTATGAAAAGAAGCATCCATCCATGAAATTCAATCACTTTTTTTCGCTGGGCATCTTAAACCGACAGAGAGGACAAGAATTCCCTACCCTAAACCAATCAGTGATGCATTCTTCATGAAAAACGTGCAAACACGGCATGTGAACACCAACCTCAAAATCCTCGAAACAAATCGCACACCTTTCTTTCTTAGACCCTTTTCCTTGAAACATCTCCAAACCCTCAACAAGTGACTTAGACGCAGGCACCAACCCAAGATCATCATCATCATCATCTTCCTCTTCTTCCTCTTCCTCTTCCTCTTCCTCTTCAATCTCGGGAGAGTCTTCTTCATCACTCATTTCGTCTTCACTGGCCCTCGTGATAACAAGAACAACTTGCATGGGCAGAACTTTGTCCCTCACGTAGCCCCCACGAAGCATGTCGCGCGCGCATTCCGCTATTTTATCCACCACGAAGCCGTGAGCGTCGTCGGGCACGCCCATGCTCACGAGCCAAGGCACGATGGTCGCCTCTTGCATCACTTCGTCCTTTGTTACATTCGGAAACGTGTGGTACGTCTTGTAGGAACGGATCTGGAATTTCCTAGCGCTCAAAATGTACTCCTTCGAGTACTTGAACTCCACCATGAAGCGTTGGTCTTCGTCGCGAAACGGAGTTTCTGAAGCATGCAAGGTGGCATATTTGTTCGGAAACGCAACACAGTAGGTGTCGTCGTCCATGGAACAAGAAATTATTTTGTTTTTTTCTTTTTTTCGAAAGGAAGAACAAGAATTTTGTGAGGGTAGAGCGAATTTGAAATTTCTTAGAGCACGAGTACAAATTTTGAGAACATGAATATAAGTGGCGTCTGTTACAGTTGGGAGGTAAAAATTAATGGGAGCGGGCTTTATTTTCTTTTTAAATTTGAAATATTGAGATTAACGAAAAGATTTGTTTGAAGATTATAACGTAATTAAAATTTATAAAAATAAATGATTAATAATGGCAACCCTTCTTTTTTGTGTAAATATTTTGTTGATTGTTTTATCTTTTATATTTCAAAATATTATTTCTCTTTCATACTTCTTTTGTTTAATTTTATTCTTTTTTTCTCTAATTTTTTTTTCTTTTTCCAATTTCTCACATCCTCAAAATAATTATTCAAAATTCACACACTCTAATTAATCGCATACATATATTTCATTTTGATTATTTATTTTATTTTATTTTTTTAAAATGCACGGAAGCACGCTAATACTATTAATGTTTACAAATTGGGACAAATCAATATTTTTTAAATAAAAATATGAAATATTTTTTTATTTATAATAAATAAGTAAAATTAGTATAATATTATTTTAATTATTCATCTTTTATCAAACATAATTTACTTATAAAAAAATCATAAAATGAAAGAGATAAGAAATTAAGAAAAAAATTCTACAGAAACTTTGATCGCTAAATTTTTTTTTTTTGTTAAATATAGTGTGTAAAATAAATTTGGCTCCCTTCTTATAACATTGATATTTTAGCCTTTAATTTAAAAATAGTGAAATAATTTAAATAAAAAATACATGAGATTTTGATGGTGAAGATTTTCGGTTTAAAGAATTTAAGTAAAAAAATTCACTTTAGATAATTTATTCTCTAAAAAACAAACCCCAAGCGTGTGGTTCAGCGGTAGGGGTTGATCCACGCTTAAGCAAGGTCAGGGGTTCGAATCCTGCCTTGTGTATGCAGCCGCGTTAAATCTTGGGGCCAGCTATCCCACCCTTTGAGGTGCCTCCAACGTAGCGAGGAGATTAGTCACTGCTGTCGGCGGTGGATACTCCAGGAACGAACCTAAAAAAAAAATTCTCTAAAAAACAATATGATTTAAAATAATTATTTTAGTTTACATGTAAAGAAGATATATGTCACAAATATGCATATATATATATATATATATATATATATATATTTTTTTTTTTTTTTTATTAAAGGTTATCTTCTAGTCACCAGTGAACCTAGTAAATATTATGTTTCAATAATATAGTTATAAAAAATTTGTAGAGATTAAATCATTTTTTATTAGATGAAAGATTTTATCTTTTTGTATAGTGTTCTAAAAAAGAACGATTTTTTTTTATTTAATCTTATGCACAGTAAAAGATTTCTCTAAAAAAATGTATTGTAAAGATAGATATATTTTAAGATTTGTTACGTAACGGATACTATAGTTATTTAGAAAGTATAAAATCTATATACTTTTGTGCAACACTTGCTAACTATCCTTTTATAGTTTTCAATTTTCTGAAGCGTTTGAAATTCTTGCTGTCAGAAAAAAAAAAAAAACGTTTGAAATTCCTTCCTTGTTGTTCTTTCTATGACTTTGGACACTACATAAAAGGAATAAAAGAATATTTTGGTTATCACTTTTTTTTTTTTGTCTTTTTTATCCTTTAATAGATGAGATAATCACTTCTTAAATTGTTTCAATTACTTTATTTCTTCAATAGTACAAATTAGGAATTTTATCAAATTTGTAGTTGCTTCATTCAAAAATTAGAAGCCTTCATACTGTTACTATTTTATAATAATAATTTATACTCTCCCACTTTCCATCTCTCTCACACCAGCAAACATTTCGATGTGTTTTCAAAATCGTCTCTTGAAGAGAACAATTTCGATGCGCAATTCAAACCGTGGGCATTATTCGTTGCATTTGTTCATTTGATTCGCAAGGTAAAATATTTTTACCGTCACAGAAAATAAAACTCTATAATATATTTAATAATTACAATTGAAGCATTAATCATCTTCATTTCTCTCTTTTACCAATATCGACATGATATTATTATGGCATAATAGCTTTCTTTACCCTTTGTAATTATAATTTAATAGAGAGATTATTTATTGTGTTGTTATTAAGATATCATGTTAAGAACCATTCTTGACAAGTCATTCATGTTTTCTGCCATTTATTAAATATTATGCATATTATTTCTTTACGGTACTGTTTACGGGGAAATTCGTTTATGGGTTCTTTATATTTGAACTAGCACGTGATTCGTTTCAATTTAGGTATTAAAATTTTACGAAAAATAAGAGATGGAGTAGAAGGATTAATAATTACTTGTTTCCAGATATTCATCAATAATTAACAAGCAATAATGTTCATGCATATAAACTCTCAAATAAACTGAATGAACGATACAAATATTTGCAATACAAATCATGTTCACATCACTTTAAAGAGTTACAATTTCAATTGTAAAGCTATCTAACTAGGTAATTAAAAGAAGAAAAGACAAACAAACTACTCCTAATCCTAAAAAGAGAAAATAAAAGCGGCCGAGAAGTGGTCATACCCAAAAATGATTCTTTACACGAAAGTCATATGCGCAGGCGGAGAGTGCTTGAGAAAGGGTTTCAAGTATGAAGTTTTTCGACCCCCGTAAATGACTACCTTCCGCAGATTTATAGCACTATTCAAGAGCAGTTAACTTCACGCATGTGTCATTATGGGGAATAACTGCTATCTATTATGCTTGTTACGTGGGTTTGAGGCATAACTTCTCGTAATTGTTTCTTCCCACGTGTCTTGTTTTTTTGATTTGCAGTTTAATAACTACCTTGATACAACTACGGGCAACCTCCAATAACTTCTCTATTTTTCGAGCTCATCATTGTTCGACTCGAACCACTTTCCTTCGCTTTCAAGCATGAACGAACAAGAGTTTTACCATGTTCATAGTAGGTGTTTGACCATTTACCTACTTTTCGAGCAGTGTCATTTACGTAAATTTTGACTTATGCATTTTTCGAGTAAGCCTAACAAATGCCTCCCTAGGAATTCAATCTTGGTGAGCATACCCATATTGCAATGAGAAAGATTTGAATTCCTATCGAGGATAATTTTCCCATTAATTATCGAAGTGTTCAAGCAGAGACTTTAGACTTTTTCGATGAAAACCTATTCTGATCTGCATTCTGATATGCATTTAATGCAAATGACCGTTTGATGGGACATTGATTGTCTTTGACGGCGCGTGCTCACACTACTCCATAAATCTGTTCCTTAAAAACGTTTTGGCGGCTGTTACGTATATTCAAATTAAAGTTTGAATTAATTTGGCAAGCCCATTTCACCTAAGGCCCATCAAGGCGTTAAAACTTCTTTTTTACCCTACCGTAAAAACCACTTTCAACACTTTCTTCCTTCGCGCCTAAGCTTCTTTGCTTCGTTCTCTGCTTCTTGGTCTTCTTCTCCGGCGATCTTGCATACTTTTCTTTTCATCATTCACCCACCATCTTTCTTTGCTCTTCATCATGGCCTCTTCTACTGCATCAACCTCCGCTGCCGTGGCGTCAGTTGCTTCACCCACCATGGCTTCTACATCATCTCCTACGTTGGCCACTGCAACCTCTACTCAGCCTATTCCCTTGTTGATGAGCAATGCGCAAGTTTGCACTGTCCCTGAGGGCAATGAGACCTTCGTACCCATTCCTGGCATGGAGGAGGCAAGCCTCAAGATCTTTAATTCTCAGATACTTCTTCCCTTCTCTCTTGAGAATGGTAATATGCATGCTTTTCTAGGGCCGTTTATTGGTTAAAATAAGAAGAAATTTGGCAATACTTTGTTACCTGAGGATACCTCTACTCTCCCCTTCATTCATTCTACCGAAATAGACTTAGCACTATTTGGAGATACTACTAAGATCTTTCGAGCTTTTCCCCCTATTAAAGATAGGCACCTCCAGTGGTTACTTCGTGTAGAAGATGCAATGAAATCCTCTTGGGCAGAAACTGGTATACTTGAGTTTATTCAACTCGCAAAGTTTGATCTACACCTTTTCGACCCTCAAATGCTGCTTTCGGCAGTTTTCTTTTGGAATAGAGAGACTAGGGCTTTCGAGTTCCCCTGTGGTTTCGTTTGCCCTACTCTGTTGGATATAGCAGCAATAACTGGTCTACCCCCTGTAGGAGATAGGTTTTATCCTGACGCCTTTGAGGAAGAGATTTCGATCAAGGAGCTCTCTATTACTTGGGATAAGAAGACCTATTTAGCTTTCATCAATGCTCATGTAGGACAACCTGGTACTATTGTTTCGATTTCTAAACACATAGCCTTTTTAATGTACTGGTTATCTGCTTGCGTTTTCTGTACCCCTTCGCTCCAGGTTCCAAAATACTATTATATTCTTGCTCAAGCCTTACATCTGAAGAAGAAAATTTGCTTAAGTAAACTCTTATTAGCATCTTTATATACCTGTCTCGATGAAGCTTCGGAAAGCCTTTTCCGTGAATCTGGGCCTCGAAATCTTTCTGGGCCATTATTGCTTCTTCAATTATGGCTCCAAGCCATTTTCGAGAAGAAAATATCTTTTACTTCGACCTTCACTCCCACTTGTGAACTTGAGGGTGCCGGTTGACCACTTTGACCCCTCGAAAGCGTTCAGTTGATAATTTTGCAACATATATTGACGCCATTCTCAACTTCACGGAATTTAGTGAGGATTTAGCTCCTTTTATTTGACCCACTTTGACAGGTCCATCATGGCTTCGATAGAATAATCAGGTTGGAAACATAAGCCTGGACTTAATTGACATGTGGTTTGGATTTCTATCTTGGGACGTCATAATTTCGGGTATGAGGCAGAAAGATGTTAGACTTTATCCTTATCAACCTCAACTTTTTGCTCGACAATTTGACCTTTGCCAAATGAAACCCCTTCCTCTTCGACGTACAGAAAGCATCGATGCCGACATTTACGTCGAAGAAGGGAACTATCGAGAAGTCCTAGATTTCATCCTCCGTCCTGACAAAGAACATAAACTTACACCATCTACTTTCTCTCCTTCCTTCCTAGTCTCAAGATGTTATTTTCGATGGTGGTGTGAATATTATGTAGATAAACTTGTCGACTTTGATGATTTTTTGAGGAAGCTGATTAATTCTCTTCTTTCTTCGCAGGGTCCAAAACAATCAGGTACTTTCAAGAATCAAATCATTATTTATCAATTTGGGCAATTTTTTTAAAGTCTGTTATCGACCTGACAACATTGGTCGAACCATCTTCGATGCATCCATCTCTCTATCGAAAATGGTACAGAGGAACATTCGCTCAAAAAAGGTAATTAACCCTCAAGGAAAAATTGATTTCGAAAAATTTTGTCCTAAAAATATACCCCCTCTTCCAAATGCTCTTTTTGGTTTAGCTAAATACTTGTCTTACCCTCCTTGGGTAAAAACACTCGACCCACTTTACCTTGAGCATAAAGCGATCCCTATAAAGAATCGAGTTACTTATGCGAGATGTTCCCTGTATGATTTTCCTCGAAGAAGATGGTGGCCACTGTGTTGGGTTGATAACACTAATCTTCCCCTGGTAAATAACTATGACCAAGAAACTTTCTCGAATTCTTTGTTGTATTTATCTCATCTTTTCTCCATGCTATGTTATGCAGCTACTGTTCCTCAACGTGTTCCCCAACACGTCGAACAAACTCCCAATTGGGAGAGTCATGATGATGATGATGCAAAAGAGGCATCATTGAAAGGTCGAAAAAGAAAGACTGCTTCTGACAAGGCTACTCTTCGTTCAAAGGTAAGAATCTTTCGACTCAACCCTTTCAATCGAATTTCTCGATTTGTTTAATTCACTTTGCCTCTTTTGATTCTTAAATTTCAGAGTATTGAAACCTCGAAGAAACAAAAAGTGGACTCGGGCAACACCAAAACTGTAAGTAAACTTGCCTCAATATACTACCTTTTGTTATTTCAAGTCTTGACTATAAAGGTCGTTCTTTCAATTCTAGGTCTCGACCACGAAAAAACCTGATAAAGGAAAGGGGAAACTGGTGGTTTCTCTTCCCAAGAAAACTCAGAAACCTCCCGTCGAGAAGCTGCTTAAGGATGCGATGAAATCAATTCCCAAGGTATTTTTATACCTCGACTTTGATTATGTCTTTCTGACGTTTCGACTTTCTTAACATCTCTTATCGTAGGGTGTCGGGGTCATTCAAATTGACTCCTCTCGGGAAATGTCGAGAGACATGCCTCTCGTCACCGGGGTGTCTCAACAGGTCTGCCCCTTTTCCCCTTTCTTTTCTTGGTCCTTCTTTGTAATCATCTCTTTCTAATCTTATCACTTGTTTGCAGTTTGACACACCTCAATTAAATGTTGCTGAGATTGCTTCGGTCATGGCTTCGATAGAGATTCCTCCTCAAGTTGAAGAGGACCAGGTTCTCCAATCTGGACCCTTGGCGAATGTGGAGACCCTCCAACAGTCTGCTCAAGGTGAAGCTTCTTTCGAGCTACAACCTCCCTTGAGCCCAAACAAGGGTATATTTCGTTTATCTTTCAAACTTTTATTATTTCGTGAGTCTTAACGAAATATATCTTACACATTGTGTTTGTGTATAACAGGTTCAACTGAATCCCCCAAGCCTTTCACTGCTTCCCCTTCGACCCAAGGTGGCGTCGAATCTTCTATATAAGGACTTGCTTCGATCCATTCTACTGACTTAGAGTTGATGAGCTTCTTTAATGAAGAGGACGAGGATATCAATAGTATTTTCGATGTCCTCGACAACTGGACAAGTGGTCCATCTAGGTCAGAAAAGGAGAAAGAGAAGATTGAACAAGTATCTGAGACGACCCCATCTTTCCAACCTGTACTCGAATCCTTCAGGTTGAAGGCCTATGTGGATAACTTAGATGAAGCCTTCCTCGACCCAGCCTTTAAAGTGGAAGTTGAACAAATGGTCGAAGACTTGCTTACCTTCTCTGACCTTCCTCCTGCAATCCATGTCGAGCTCCAAGAGTTTACCCAGTCTTTCACTCTTGCCTCAGATCTTCGATTGAAGTGGTCTTCTACTTTCCAGGAAGTGGCTCAGATCGAAGTCGAGAGTGAAGGCGACCGCGCTAAACTCGAGAGGCTCCGTGAGGATCTGATCTCTATCTGGAAATCTACTGGGGAAATAATCCCTGTATTGAAAAAATTGCAACATGAGGAAGAAGATTGCACAAAGTCCATTGAAGCCTTACAAGCTGAGTTGAATAATCTTCGCTCAAAACAAGCTGCCTTAAAGGCTCAGAGTCAAGACGTCGTGCAACGTCAGAAGAACTTAAAAGAGGAAGGCAAGATTATTTCTTCGAGGCTTGCCAAAACTTTGGAGCATAAAAAGCATCTAGAGGGTCAATGCATTGCTCGAAGGCAAAGCTTGGATGAGGCTTATAAGGCTTTCAACGATTTTAAGTCCAAGTTTTTTAATAATTAGATTTTTTCTTTTTCGATCTTTCTTTGGCCTATATTGAACAATTACTTATTATTTTGTTCTATTATGAAAGCGCTTTAAGTATTTCCCATTCATCACTTTGCTTACATTCGAATTTATCTCTTTAATAACGTATGCATTTTTCGAATATACTTACTCGACCATGAAGGGGCCTTCCCAATTATAAGACCACTTCCCTAGGTATCGAGATTTCTGGTCCATGGGAAGGATCACTTTTAACACCAAGTCCCCCGCTCGAAATCGTTGTGCCTTGACTTTCTTATTGTACGATTTCTCAACCCTTTGTTTTTGTTGAACAAGATTCTGCAATGCTATTAACCTTTCTTCGTCTAAAGATATTAATTCATCAAGCATTAAATTCCAATAATCTTCAGTAGGCAAATCATTATGTTTTTGCACGTGAATTGATTGTAAATTAATATCTAAAGGAAGAATGGTGTCATGCCCATATACCAGTTTATAAGGGGTAGTCTTCGTGGCATCTCTAGGGGAATTCCTATACGCCCATAAAATTTGAACAAGTGTTTCATGCCAATTTCGAGGCTTGCTCGAAATATGCCTTTTAATCAAACTGATAATAAGTTTGTTAGCAGCCTCTACTTGTCCATTTGCTTGTGCGTAATATGGTGTTGAAGTAATTAACTTAATTCCTTGTGATTTAGCATATTGAGCAACTTTTCGACCCGTAAATACTGTGCCTTGATCAGTAGTGATTGTTTGGGGAATCCCAAACCTTGTAATAATATGATCTTTGACAAAATCAATTATTTCCTTTTGCTCGACTTCTTTTAAGGGGATAACTTCAACCCATTTTGTAAAATAATCTATGGCAACCAATATATATTTATGATTTCTCGAGGAGGGTGGATGTATTTGCCCTATAATGTCAATTGTCCAACCTTGAAATGGCCATGGTTTGATAATCAAATGTAATTCACTTGCAGGTACCTTTTGTATTGGTCCATGTTTTTGACACTCTTCACAACTTTTTACGAACTCGATACAATCCTTAATCATAGTTGGCCAATACAAACTTTTTCTCAACAAAACCCATTTCATCTTTTCACCTGCTTGATGTGCTCCATAGATGCCTTCATGTATTTCTGCCATAGCTATATAACTTTCTTGACTCCCAAGACATTTAAACAAAACCCCATTGAAACCTCTTTTGTACAATTCGTTATTTAGCAAGACATAATTGAGGGCTTGGAGTTTAATATTTCTTTCGACTTTTATACTGGGATTTTGCAAGTATTCAACCAATTTACTCCTCCAATCTTGTTGACTCGAAGAATTAACACTTAGAGTCTCTAGATGGTTTATCAACTCATGTTGTGTATGAATCAAAGATTCGAAACACTCTTTACTGACTTTGTACCCAAATGCTACTTGAGCCAATTCATTTGCAATTGTGTTCGAGTCTCAAGAAATATGTTGTAACTCAACTTCATCAAACGTATTAAGTAACTGTTCAGCTCGACTTTTGAATCCCATTAATTTTTCATTTAGACATTTATACTATTGAGTTAGTTGTTTGATGACTAGTTGTGAATCCCCTCGAATTAATACATTCTTAGCGCCTAACTCCTTGAGAATTTCGAGTCCTGTTATGAGTGCCTAGTACTCTGTTTCATTATTCGAGTATTCTCTGTTTGTTTTTAACGATATTTTAGTCGGGATCCCTTCAGGGGAGATGATCAACAAACCTATTCCAGTACCTAACTCATGTTTTGAACCATCGAAAAATAATTCCCAAGGCTTAATGGTTAAGTAATTAATTTTTTCAATTTCTTTCGAGTGATCCGCATGAAAATCCGCAATTACTTGTCCCTTAGTAGCCTTTAATGGCTCAAAAGTTAATGAATATTTCGTTAATGTAAGTGCCCATTTGCCAATTCGAGAATGTAACACAGGTTTACACAACATATACTTAATCACATTACTTCGACAAAATATTACAACATCACAGGGCCTAATATAATACTTCAACTTTGTACAAGCAACATAAAGACTTAAACATAATTTTTCTAAAGGAGTATATCTAATTTCTTCTCCTACTAACATTCGACTTAAATAATAAATGACTCTTTCGATGCCATTATCATCATCTTGCGCCAGCATGCCCGCAAT